GTATATCGGTATCGGTACTTTGAAATAGCATGACAATACAGAACCGACTCTCGTCCACACCAGGATCAATTTTCATCTGGGCGCCATGTCAGCCAGGGGTCCTGAGAGGGACAACGCCGTCGTCACGTGGCTTGGTGTTCGCCCCCCACGATGCCCCGAGTTATTCCGGAACAAAAGAATCTGCCTCTGAACGTCACAAAACCTGTTCGATCTAGCAATGTTTTGTTTTTCCACTCTGAAGTTCTCGTCGTTAATCATTAACATTGTGCTATCAGGCGGCTTAACAAGGGTCACGTCCAAACACAGTGGTGCTGCTGACCCTGCCAGACATGAGAGATCGTTTCCTGTCACAGGCAGCAGGCCCATGGCAGTGGTGCAATGTGGGAAGAGTATGCAGAGGATTGGATACAGAAATCTACTTTGGACCTTTCTGTCCTAATAAAAACTTGATTTTCGCAGTTCCGCGCAGGCTTGTGCCCCTGCCAGTTTGTCCCATAACACCTAGGCGCGATCCCGAGTCTCCGGCATAACGCAGCTCCATGAGCTAAAGGAGACCACCCTCAGCCCTGCTATGCGCAGGGAGGGCAATGACGTCACCCTGTCCAAACTAGCTCCGCTATACCTTCACATTTGTACAGCCTGAAATATTGTATATACTTTCACAAACGATTCTTCATGGTGAAGAATGTAAAATTGTCGTTTTAAGAATCACAAAATATTTTAGTTTACATTTTAACATTATAGGCCATAAATCCCTAATGTTCTGGATCTGAATATCAAAGAAACACTAAATGTTTCTGTGCTTCTTTTCTATAGTCCACTGTTGGTCACTTGCACAAGGATTATTTGATTAAATAATAATAATTCCTTACACTTATGTGGCACTTTTCTGGAAAATCCACTCAAAGTGCTTTACAGGTAATCCCCTCCACCACCACCAATGTGCAGCCCCACCTGGATGATGCGACGGCAGCCATAGTGCGCCAGAACGCTCCCCACACATCAGCTATCAGTGGGGAGGAGAGCAGAGTAATGAAGCCAGTTCACAGATGGGGATTATTAGGAGGCCATGATTGGTAAGGGCCAATGGGAAATTTGGCCAGGACGCCGGGGTTACACCCCTACTCTTTTCACAACAACGCCCTGGGATTTTGAATGACCACAGAGAGTCAGGACCTCGGTTTTACGTCTCATCCGAAGGACGGCACCTTTTAAGAGTATAGTGTCCCCGTCACTATACTGGGGCAGTAGGACCCACACAGACCACAGGGTGAGCGTCTCCTAATGGGCCCTCTCATACCTCCTCCAGGCTCACACCTGCTGAGCTTCAGTGGGCTGCCCGTTGTGAGTCGCAGGGTGATGTGGCGGCTGGCTAAATGTAATCAAATCCTTCATGTGAGAAACGTGAAATCGCACAAGAGATTATTTTTAGCGTATGCCCTTCTTACAAATCATTGGAAATGATTTCATGACCTGCCACTCTCTTCTTTTGTACCCTTTTACAGCTGACTGTGCTGTAATGTCCTTGACAGTAATCCCTCCTCAGACCCTGCGCCCGTTCAGTCTGTATTAGTGTGCCAGCCTGAGATGGCAAGCAGGTGGTGAGGGTACCAGTCATACCCTAGTTCTCCCAGACCCTCTGGTGAGGCTGATTGAGTGTGTGAAGGTGTGGCTAATGAAAATCGCAGAACTGGGTCACCTCCAATGCACTTCCCAGCTCTAAACCAATGCCTGTCCCTCTGACACTGCGCTCACACACAGAAGCATTAGGTCTGGAAAACAAGTCTTTAGAGAATCATGTGCAAATTTCACCTAGCATGCGACAGAGGCAGATTTAAATGAGATGGCAAAAGAGATGTCTGATAATCTTGATTTATTTCCCTATTTCGGTCCAGACCATATAAATGCATATAGTGAAAACACAATCATGCAAAGGGCATGCACAAATGCAGGTAATAATGAATGCTTACACTTATATAACACTTTTCCGAACACTCCACTCAAAACGCTTTACAGGTAATGAGGACTCCCCCTCCACCACCACCAGTGTGCAGCCCCACCTGGATGATACAACAGCAGCCATAGTGCACCAGAACACTCACCACTCACCACACATCAGCTATCAGTGGGGAGGAGAACAGAGTAATGAAGCCAATTCATAGATGGGGATTATTAGGAGGCCATGATTGGTAAGGGCCAATGGGAAATTTGGCCAGGACGCCGGGGTTACACCCCTACTCTTTTCAAGAAACACCCTGGGATTTTTAATGACCACAGAGAGTCAGGACCTCGGTTTTACGTCTCATCCGAAGGACGGCACCTGTTTACAGTATAGTGCCCCCGTCACTATACTGGGGCATTAGGACCCACATGGACCACAGGGTGAGCACCCCCTGCTGGCCCCACTCACACCTCTTCCAGCCGGAACCTTAGTTTTTCCCAGGAGGTCTCCCATCCAGGTACTGACCAGGCTCACACCTGCTGAGCTTCAGTGGGTTGCCAGTGGTGAGTTGCAGAGATATGCAACGGCAGACATTTCTCTGTTCCCTGGGACCCCAGGCCATGTGCCCTGTAACCTTAAGTGCTCCAATGCCTCTGCATTGAGTTTCTGAATCATTTGTGTTGTTCTGCACCATCTCCCTGTCTTCCATTGGCTTTAGCATCATGCCTGCTGCCTGTTCTTTCCCATGTACCCCCACACTTTTAAATCTCAAGGGGATGCACTGAGACAGCGTTAAACACAGAGGTGTGGAACGCCAGGACATAACTTCATGGGAAACAGTGGAGAAGTCAAATACCTGCATTTCGTAACTTAAGAAAAGGGAAA